CCCGCCAAAGCCGGTGCTTGCTGAAGGACACGCGGCTGGGTGGGAGACGGAGCTGGGGGAAGACTGATGAAGAACATCTGGATCTGGGCGCAAACATCTGGAGACCCGGGACGGGCGGGAGGGCAGAGTCTCCAGTAACGACAGTGGTTTCGGTAGCGTTTTTGCTTGGTGTCATCGGTAGCTCGTGGGGCCCGTTTACAGCGGTTGGTGCCCCCATCATTGGGGCCCGAGCCCCGGTGAGATGAAGTCTCAACTTCCCCCTGGAGGGTTGAGGCCAAACGCAATGTGCAGGAGGGGAGAAACGGGGCCCGCGGTGTTGGTTTGGGATGCCGACTGTAACCTGGGGCCCGTGGCCCAGTCGAAATTGCTGGACCAAGCTGCGGAGGGATGAGACTCCCCCGCTCCCAGGACTTCCTTCCCCTACCTGCCCTAACCCGGGCACCCTGCAAAGCTCCGCGTTGTTCTCTGGCATTTGGAAATGAAAGTGGGGCGATAAAGTCTCCTAACAGCGGAGAGTAGCTAGGAAGGGGAATGGATTTGGGGGCCTGAAGCCACGCGGCTCAGCGGGGGGGTGATGACAGCCCGGGGCCGTGTCCTTCACTGCTGTCAAGGGCTCGCGGGCCCGGCGCGCGGCGCCTTTTTTTAGCGTTTGCATAAATCTAAATAAATAAACAATCAGCGCAGAGATGGGGGGGCGGGGGGGATACAGTCGCTCGTAGGCCTGATTTGGGTTCGACTCGCAGATGTTTGCCAGGAGATCAGATCTCCACGTTCGTTATTTGTCCCCTTTCCCGCACGGCGACTCTTCTGATTTTTTGAGCTGCGCCATCTGCTTCCCGACGGTGCCCCCGTTGGGCGATTGCCCCAGGATCTCGGCTTGGATTAACCGACGCAAAAGATGCGTTTAGCAATAGACACCGTTCGGGGCTTTTAAGCCCATCTGATGGTACCGAGGGGTCCAGCTCCCGACCGCTGGGACCTGCCAGCACTTGCTTTTCAACGCTTTGATGATGGCTCCTCGACGCGGGAATTACTGGGTGTAAATCTATGATCTGGGTTGTGACGGACGTGGTGCTGGGCCTGGTCTGGGGGTATCTGGGAGGCCTGGGAAAGTCCCAACTCTTCCTTTTCAACTCTTCTCTCCTGAAAATGAAGCACGGCGCTTAAATGCGATGGGAAGTATATTTAGATGTCATCAACTTCAGTACGGCACATCCACCTTATAAATATGGAAGCCCATCTTGGGGAGCTGTTTAAGGCGCCTCATCAGCTCCTGGAAAATATGCAGCAGTATTAATTAGCTGGGATTTGGGTCTGATCTCATGATGAATAAATGAAGATCCTCTCTGCATAAGATAAATGACTCTTAAAAAAGAAAGCCGGTTCCCCAGATTCTTTCGCTGTTCTGCAGAGCGCCTCCCGAAAGGCTTGGCGTGCCGTCGCCGATATCAAATGATGGTTGCGGCTGTCTCTGGGGTGAGACCCAG